AAATCAAAAAATCAGCCAGGTGTGGTAGCACATGCCTGTAATTCCGGCTACTCGGAAGGCCGAGGCAGATGGATCGCTGGAGCCCAGCAGGCGAGTCTGTGGTGGCCGGGAGCGGACACTGCACTCCAGTCTGGGCGACAGAGTGAGACACCAACTCAAAAAATAAATATAAATAAATAAATAATTTCCAGCCAGGCTCGGTGGCTCAGCCTGTAATCCCGCACCTTTGGGATGCTGAGGTGAGTGGACTGCCTGAGCCCACGGGTTCGAGACCCGCCTGGGCATCTTGTCTGAGACCTCATTTGTACAATAAATCAAAAATCAGCCAGGCGTGGTAGCGCACGCCTGTAGTTCCAGCTACTTGGAAGGCTGAGGTAGAAGGATCACCTGAGCCCAGCAAGTTGAGGTTGATTTGGCTGTGAGCATGCCACTGCACTCCAGTCTGGGTGACAGAATGAGAATCCGACTCAAAAAAACAAAAAAATTCCATTCTTATTTTCAACTGAATAAAAAAATGGAAGACTATTCATACATAAAAGTTAACTTAGGCCGGGCACAGTGACTTAAGCCTGTAATCCCAGAACTCTGGGAGGTCCAGGCAAGAGGATTGCCTGAGACCAGGGGTTCAAGACCAGCCTAGACAACTTGGTGAGACCTTGTCTCCACAATAAATTTTTTAAAAAGCCCTGGTACAGTGGCTCAAGCCTATAATCCCAGCACTTTGGGAGGCCGAGGCGAGAGGATTGCCTGAGCCAGCAGGTTCTAGACCAGCCTGGGCAACATAGTGAGACTTCGTCTCTACAATAAAAATCACAAAATTAGCTAGGCATGGTGGCATGTGCCTGTAGTCCTGGCTGCTTAGAAGGCTGAGGCAGGAGGATTGCCAGAGCCCAGCAGGTCGAGGCTGCGGTGGCCGTGAGTGTGCTACTGCACTCCAGCCTGGGCGACAGAGTGAGACTCCAAATCAAAAAAATAATAATAATAATAATCAATAAATCAAAAGAAAACAAATTAGCCAGGCGTGGTGGCTCGCGCCTGTAGTTCTAGCTTCTTGGATGACTGAGGTAGAAAGATCGCCTGAGTCCAGCAGATTGAGGCTGCGGTGGCTGTGAGCATGCCATTGCACTCCAGCCTGGGTGACAGAGTAAGACTCCAACTCAAAAAAAAATAAAATAAAAACATAAAAAAGTTAACCTGACCAATGAAGTCCATGGAGAGCTAATAATAGTCTCTTCTCCTCAATACCACCAATAAGCTCTGTTTGTACACTTGTATCTCACTGTTCTCACCAAGAAACATGAGTGATTAGCCACAAGGGCAAAAAAAAAAATCACTGTGAGAAATTAACTGTAAGATTCTGTGGCATGTTCCTTTGGCCATCGCGTGTAGCTTTTTTGTTCAACACAGAAATACAGTACTTCTGCCTTTCTAAATCTCCCTGCCATAGGTTGACCAGTTTGTCTCCTCCTTGGAAAAACTTGATTTAACTCCTCTTGCCGATTCTCAAACAGAAAATCAAGATAGTTTTATGTGAGGACTTTTTTTTTTTGGAGACAAGGTCCCCCTATTTTGCCCAGGCTGGTCTTAAACATGGGATCCTCCTGCCTTAGACTCCCAAGTACCTGGGATACTACAGGCAGGCACACCACTATCCTCAGCTCTATGGGAAAATTTTCTTTTTTCTTTTTCTGCCTCTGTAATTAATTCTGCCTCTATAATTGAAGAATATGGGAGGACTTTTTTCAAACTACTGATTCAATTCCTTTACTGGTGATAGGAGTAAGTCTGATTCTCTATTTCTTCTTAAAGCAGTTTGAGTAAGAAACATTTTTCTAGGATTAGCTCTTTTCTTCAAATTTACAAATAAATACAGTTGTCACTTGTAAATTCAGCTCATTATATTAGAAAAGGCTGAAAAATTAAACACTTAAGGTATAAATTTCCTTCTAGAGGCATTCCCAAGTTTTCATATGTAGCATTTTTACTATTGTTTCATTCTAAATATTTTCTCATTTCCATCTTCTTCTTTGACCTACAGGTTATTTAGAAGAGCAGTTTTGGTCTGGTAAAGTGGCTCATGCCTGTAATCCTAGCAATTTAGGAGGTCAAGGCAGGAAGATTGCTTCAGGCCAAGAGTTCGAGACCAGCCTGGGCAACATAGCAAGACCTGTCTCTATAAAAATAAAATGAAAGCTGGGCACAGTAGCTCACACCTGTTATCCTAGCACTTTTGGAGACTGAGATGAGAGGACTGCCTGAGCCCATGGGTTGAAGACCAGACTGGGCAACTTGGTGAGACCTCATCTCTACAATAAACCAAAAAAAAATTAGGTGTGGCAGTGTGTGTTTGTTGTTCCACCTACTTGGAAGGCTGAGGTAGAAGGATCACCTGAACCCAGCAGGTCAAGGCTGCGGTGGCTGTGAGCGTGCCACTGTACTCCAGCCTGGGCGACAGAGTGGGAGTCCGAATGAAAAATAAACAAAATGATGGGCTCGGGGGCTCAGCCTATAATCCCGTGCCTTTGGGAGGCTGAGGTGAGTGGATTGCCTGAGCCTGTGGGTTCAAGACCAGCCTGGGCAACTTGGTGAGACCTCATCTCTACAATAAATCAAAATGTGCCTGTAGTTCCAGCTACATGGAAGGCTGAGGCGGAAGGATCACCTGAGCTCTGCAGGTTGAGGCTGTGGTGACCATAAGTGTAGAACTACACTCTAGCCTGGTGACAGAGTGAGACTCACTCAAAAAGCACTTTGGAGATGAGATAGAGAGGCAAGAGGATTTCCTGAACCCAGGGGTTCAAGACCAGCCTGGGCAACTTGGCGAGACCTTGCCTCTACAGCAAATAAAAAAATTAGCCAGGCATGGTGGTATGCATCCGTAGTTCCAGCCACTTGGAAAGTCGGAAGGATCACCTCTGAGGCAAGAGGATCACCTGAGCCCAGCAGGCTGAGACTGTGGTAGCCATGGGTGTGCCACTGCGTTCCAGCCTGGGCCACAGAGCAAGACTCCAAGTCAAAAAAAAAAAAAAAGAAAGAAAACTGTCAACTCCTAGCATTAAAGTTAAGAGTATACATTTATACAAAAAAAAATTTTTTTTTTGAGTTGGCGTCTCACTCTGTGGCCCAGACTGGAGTGCAGTGGCATGCTCCTGGCCACTGCAGCCTCGATCTGCTGGGCTCCGGCGATCCTTCTGCCTCGACCTTCCAAGTAGCCGGAACTACAGGCGTGTGCTACCACGCCCGGCTAATTTTTTTTTTTTATTGTAGAGATGAGGTCTCATCAAGTTGCCCAGGCGGGTCTCAAACCCGAAGGCTCAGGTAATCCACTCACCTCAGCCTCCCAAAGCGCTGGGATTACAGGCTGAGCCACCAAGCCGGCCACATTTATACAAACTTTTAAGGAGACATTTTAATAAGATGTAGCAAGTGTTCAAGTTTGCATTTTATCTGAACCAGCATTTGTACTTCAGAAATTTATAGATAGGCCAGGCTCAGAGGCTCAGCCTGTAATCCCAGGACTTTGGGAGGCCAAGGCAACTGGATTACCTGAGCCCACAGGTTCAAGACTAGCCCGGGCAACTTGGCGAGACCTTGTCTCTACAATAAATAAAAAATTAGGGCCGGGTGCGGTGGCTCACATCTATAATCCCAGCACTTTGAGAGGCCGAGGTGAGAGGATTGCCTGAGCCCATGTGTTTGAGACCAGCCTGGGCAACATGGTGAGACCTCATCTCTACAATAAATCAAAAGTTAGCCAGGCATGGTGGCACATGCTTGTAGTTCCAGCTACTGGGAAGGCTGAGGTGGAAGAATCACCGGAGCCCAGCAGGTTTAGACTGCAGTGGCCAGGAGTGTGCCACTGCACTCCAGCCTGGGAGATGGAGCGAGACTCCAACTCAAAAAAAAAAAAAAGAGTAATTATGTGTACAGAGATACACATAGCTGTATGACCTTGGGTAAGCTGCCTAGCCTCTCGGTGCCTTGGTTTTCTCTTCTATAAAATGAGGATAAGTATCTGCCTCATAAGACCATTAAACAGGTATAATAAATACTGTGCTTAGAATGATACCTGGAACATGGCAATCTTACATATTAGCTATTATTATAACCACAATGAGCCATAAATGTCACCATAATGTTTTTCCAGGGCTCCATCTCACCAATGGGATTTCAGGTAAATTTTCATGTCTTTTTATATTTCAAACCTTTCTGTATTGCTATTAATTAAACCGGCTCTAAAATTATTTTAAGATTGCTCCGGCCCGGTTCGGTGGCTCAGCCTGTAATCCCACACTTTGGGAAGCTGAGGTGAGTGGACTGCCTGAGTCCACGGGTTCGAGACCCGCCTGGGCAACTTGGCAAGACCTCATCTCTACAATAAATCAAAATTTAGCCGGGCGGGGTAGCGCACGCCTGTAGTTCCGGCTACTTGGAAGGCTGAGGTAGAAGGATCGCTGGAGCCCAGCAGGTCGAGGCTGCGGTGGCCGGGAGCGGCCACTGCACTCCAGTCTGGGCAACAGAGTGAGACTCCAACTCAAAAAAAAAGATTGCTCCAGATTCCATAATTTTCTTTTGACAACACTTTCTCCCACCATCCATTATGAATGAATATGACTGTTCATCTCTGGGCACCTGTGTCCACTCTGAACCTCTAGACAGAAATCCCAGCTCCTCTGTCCCCTTGGGTGTAGGCTGGCATCCTGGCCTGGGCACCCTGACACCGCTCCTCACAAGACTCATACGCTGTCCCTTTGTGTACTAAGGGGTGACCCCTGCTCTCCCTGCGTCCTTTTCTGGCAGACTCCACTGTCCAGCAGATGTAAGACTTGGTTAAGCAGGAATGAAGGAAATCTAACAGACTGCCCACTGTCAACATGGCCTCCTATCAAACACATCAAGACAGTTCTTACCACCTTCTTCACCAGTCCAGGCAGGCTACCTTCTTTACCATCCCACGAACAGTTTGTTTGTTTTTTTTGACTTGCAGTCTCACTTTGTGCCCAGGCTGGAGTGCAGTGGCATGCTGCTCATGGCCACTGCAGACTTCACCTCCTAGGCTCAGGTGATCCTTCAGCCTCAGCCTTCCAAGTAGCTGGAACTACAGACACGTGCCACCACGCCTGGCTAATTTTTTGATTTATTGTAGAGACAAGGTCTTGCCATGTTGCCCAGGCTGGTCTCGAACCTGCGGGCTCAGGCAATCCTCTCGCCTCCGCCTCCCAGATGCTGGGATGCCCAGCTTTTACCTAAGAGTATTTATGGGCACATTTCTTCCTGCCTAGAGCACTCTCCACCCTTTCCTCAGTGCCTGTTCAAAACACAGCCCCTATCTTACTCTGCCTGCTCCAGGAAGCAGGCTAGTAGCCCTCCATGATCTCAGAGAAGAACATACCAGAGAGGGAAGGGCTATTAGAAATCTCCTCCTTCAGAAGTCACCATCTCTCTGTAAAGGGCCAGACAGCAAACACCTTTGGCTTTGTGGACTGGTCCTTCTGAACTTGTCACTGTCCTGTTGCCCAAAAGCAGCCACAGGCAACATGAAAATGAGTGGCTGTATTCCAATAAAACTTTATTTACAGACACAGAATTTGCTTTTTATGTAATTTTCACATACCATGAAATATTCTTATTTTTTCAACCATTTATAAGTGTAAAAAGCATTCCAGCTGGGTTTGGCCTGAAGGTGGTAGTGTACTGAGGTCTGCTCTGAGTAGTTACACGGCCTCATCTTCAGGAAAGCACAGTCAGCCCTGAGAAGCTCTAAATAAGCTGCCCAGCATTCGTTTACGAGAGACGGAAACCAAAACCCCACCCCTCAGCCCCTGGCAGGCACACAACAAGCACTCAAAGTGCTTAAATGGGGGAACCACATAACACCACTTTTCTCTTTAAACTACAAACTGTATTACTGATACTTTGATTAGGGTTTTCTTGTTTTCCAACCATGGACTGTCTGATATTTCTTACATAGTTCCTCTTGCTTCCTCCCCTGAATGTAATATTACTGCCTGCCCATAGTGAAATGTAATACACAATCCATGATAAATAAAAATTTCATTGTCCACTCCCAGCCCTGGAGAGCCAGGGAAAAGCCCCATTGCATTCCTTTATAATATGTAAAGCATTAAAAGCCCCACTGTGTTGTGTTTTAAGTCTCAGATATTACAAATTCACTTAAATTCATTATATGAATTAAGATAAATGTGTTCAGGCATACATTTTACAAAGATGATAATTTTAGGGTTAATTAAATTGTTTAAATCACAATTAAAGGTATATAAGTTCTTAATAGGATTTCACTTATGTTAAATTTAAAGCAATATAGGTTTTTATCATTTGTGCCCCAAATCAGCAGGCACTTGACAGATTATAATCAAAATTAACTCGCTTCATTTTCTTCCTCTTTATTCCCTGAAGATTAAAATGATTTTCCTTACTAACCATAATTAAGACCTCATGAATTACTTTGACCAGAAAAAAAATCTTCAAAACCCTAGTGGGCTTGGACATATTCCTGGCCTTGAAAAAAAAAAGAAAGAAAAAGACACTAGAGCCAGGCTCGGTGGCTCAGCCTGTAATCCCGCGCCTTTGGAAGGCTGAGGTGAGTGGATTGCCTGAGCCCGCCGGTTCGGGACCCGCCT